GTCGCCAGCCGGCACTGTCTGGCTGACGGCACCCTGAGGAGACCCTCTCTGTGGGAGCGTATCGGCCGATGAGAGGTAATCGGAGGCAGAAGGCGGTCTCGGAGATAACCAGGTCCGATGCCATGGAGCGCTTTGAAGATGATAATCAACACCTTGAAGCGCACCCGGAAAGCCACCGGCAGCCAGTGCAGCTCGCGTAACAGCGGCGTTACATGGGAGCGACGAGTCACTCCCATCACCGCCCGCGCGGCTGCATTCTGGACTAGCTGGAGCCTCCGGGTGCTCCTCAAGGGGAGCCCCATGTAGAGAGCATTGCAGTAGTCCAGGCGGGAGGTGACAAGAGCGTGGGTGACTGTGCGCAAGGCGTCCCGGTCCAACCACTTGAAGTTACAATGGACCTCCGGTGGGGGTGTACTTACAATCTGGTTTCAAAGGCCGATTTTCCCCGTGGCCACGTGACAGGTTGGGCGTTCAGCAACCGGCCCACGTTCACAGCCATTTGCAGTCACGTGACCCAAAAACTGGCATTTAATTCTGGTTTGGGGTAAGACTGGCCCATGTTTCATTTTACGACTGCCGTGTTCACTTAAAACCACCACAGTAAGAGGTCATAAAATTGGGTTGGCCGATTTACAAGCGTCACAACTTATGACTGTGATGGGCAGGCTCCCTTGTAGTTGCAAGTCAAGGACGGCCTGTCAGTGCAGTTACTTTCTAGGTCAGTGGTTCTCAGCCTGTGGGTCGGGACCCCATTTGGGGTCGATCGACCATTTTACGGGGGTCGCCAAGCAAGGCTGTCCGCCATTTTTTTTGTCCGCCATTTTTTTTCCCCTTTTCCGGCGGGTGCCTTACCTCCCTCGGGCTGGGCCAGCTGGTGGTCGGCCTGCTCCGTCTCTGCCGCTTGCCAGCTACGCCTCGGCCAACGCAGGGGGCGGAACCACGCATGCGCGGCGCTCCCGGGCAGGGAAAGTCCTCGACTTACGACCGGTTGGGTAGTCCTCGACTTACGACCGGTTTAGTCCTTGACTTATGACCGGTTTAGTCCTCGACTTATGACCGGTTTAGTCCTCGACTTACAACCGGTTGGGGTCGCGGCATTAAAAAGGTTGAGAACCACTGTTCTAGGTCATTAGCACGATGTCTGGTTAGCACTGATGACGTTACCTAGTTGGGTCGTGAGACGTCTGCAAGGAAACAACGAAGCTCAGAGAGCAAAAAGGAGCCCACAGTCCTTTCCTTCTTCCTCCTCTTCCTCCTCTTCTTCTCATTCTTCTTCTCCCCCTCTTCCTCCTCCTCCTCCTCTGCACAAACCCCACATTCCCTTCTAGCACGGATGATAGTCTCTAGTTGGGTAATGAAACGTCTGCAAGAAAACACCCAAGCGCAGAGAGCACCCAGGAGCCCACAGTCCCCCTCTCTGCAACCCCCCCCCGTCCCTTCTAGCACTGATGACGTTACGCAGTTGGGTCATGAGACGTCTGCAAGAAAATAACCAACCTCAGAAAGCACCAAGGGCCCAACAGTTAGTTAGTTCTTCTCCCCTTCTCTTTCTCACCGCAAACTTCACTCCCTTTGGCACTGTTGATGTTACCTAGTTGGGTAATGAAACATCGGAGCACCCCACAATCCTCCACGCCACAAAACCCCCACCCCCTTCTGGAACGGATGACGTTAGGTAGTCTGGTGATGAAAGGTCTGCAAGAAAACCCAAATCAGAGAGCACCAAGGAACCCAGGTCTTCCTCCTCTCCTGCACTCCGCAAACCCCACATTCCCCTCTGGCCCTGATGATGTTCCCTAGTTGGGTCGTGAAATGTCCGTAAGAGAACCACCCAGCTCCGGGAGTACCAAGGACCCCACAGTCCTCCTCCTTCCTTCTAGCACTGATGATGTTCCCTAGTTGGGTCGTGAAACGTCTGCAAGAAAACCACCAAGCTCAGAGAGCACCAGGGAACCCATAGTCCCCCTCTTCCTCCTCCTCTCCACATACCCCCCCCCCTTCTAGCACTGATAGTGCTACCTAGTTGGGTTATGAAAGGTCTGTAAGAAAACCATCAAGCTCAGAGAGCACCAAGGACCCCATAGTTTCCTTCCTTCCTTCCTTCCTCCTCCTCCTCTCCTTCCTTCTAGCACTGATGTTCCCTAGTTGGGTCATGAAACGTCTGCAAGAAAACCACCCAGCTCAGGGAGCACCCAGGACCCCACCGTCCTCCTCCTTCCTTCTAGCACTGATGATGTTACCTAGTTGGGTTATGAAACGTCTGCAAGGAAGCCACCCAGCTCAG